CTAGGTACATACTGGCTATTTGTAGAAAAGGTGGGAAGTTAAAGGTTAAACCAAGTCTTTGCAGTATTTAGTTTTAAATTGCAATAATAAAATAAATATTTGTTTTTACTGCTATGTAGAATGATTAATTCGCAACATTTTATTAGAATGTACACATTCACTTGAGAAATATTAACTATAGTGCCTACTTTTATGTATATAATATGATGGAATATCTTTATACTCAATTTCATTAGGTAATATTAATGTACCTAATCAGAAACAGTAAAGTTATGTTACTGAAAAATTAGCCATAAACAAATAAGAAAGAATATTTTAAAAATGCTACAATGTATGCAGACGGGAAGAGCTTGACTTCTCCCTCCCCCCTCCCCCTCGAAGACGCCCATGGGTCTTTAGTAAAGACGTGGTTCTTTGAATATTTATACGCATATCGATGATACTGGTCAAAAATGTTTACTCGGTATTTTAAGAAAAATTCGGCCAGTGATGATAACGAACTCGGGTTGCTTCATTTTCTTCGTATATATATATATATGATACACATATAACGTTATAATCCGATCGGTGTACATAAATCGATCCGTACAGACCGAAAAATATACTTGTATAACATATTGTGCGTGTGTGTGTGTGTGTGTGTGTGTGTGTGTGTGTGTGCGTGCGTGTACGTCTCTCGAGTATTTACTAATTTAAAGTGGTCGCCGGGGTGTAATGGAGGGTTTACGTTTCAAGAACTTGCACACCTTTAAAACGTCGAGTAGGACTATATATTGTATTGTATACAAACTATAATTAATGCATGAAATATTATAATAAAATATTATGTTGTTACCTAAAAAACCTCAAAATGAAAACGGGTACCTCGCGACGAAACCGCACACGTTGAAGATCGCGATATTTTTTCAATTAACATATTACATGTGTGACGATATGTCATGTAAAGTTTTCACGGTTTTCGGCAAAAATTGTAATAAGTTAAAAGTATAAAATATATAAATACCTATGTAGGTATATTATAAAAATCGAAGAAAGTCTTTAAAATAACTCCAGTAACGCGTATATTCGTATACCGGTTTCGACAATTCGTTATTTTCGATACTATCGTGACTCGCTCAAAAAATAGTTGTAAAACAAAAGTAATTTTTTTTTTTATAACTATAGCAATAAATTATAATGAGACATTGTTTTTGTATTTTTGTTAATTTTCAGTCGTTATATATTATACTTGCAATATAATACTTTTGTTTCCGCGATTTGATTCAGTGAATAATAATAATGCAAAAAAAAAAAACGACAACAACGCCGCCACGCAGCATAATATACTTAACTCGGAACAACTCTGGCAAATTTAAACTTAATCTCCGTAAGAGAACTTGGTGTGCACTTACTTTGCTTCGAGCCGGATGCCCTGCCGATTATGTGTGTATAATATATAATTACACTTGCGAGGCTTTGATTAATACAATAATATCGTGTCGGAAGTATATTATATCGTATTCCTTTGTTATCGCGCACATTCGTTTTTCCCACATAATATACTTAAACTTCATATTATTATAATGTCACGGATAATACACTATTATCTCCGTTTATAAATATGCATCTGCGCCGACGACCTATCCCATTCCAGAAAATATAATAATTAATAATACGTCCGATATGTGTGTACGTACGTATACACTGCAAGGCGTTTTAATATATTGTTTAAATAACGGTTATTGTTAATTAATTCCACTTGGCATTTGTGTAGAGAATCAACTTTCAACACAAAGTTTTGTACAAACGAAATGCAAATCACGGCGGCGCTTATCTACAGTCTGAGAAATTATTCAAAAAACCGACGCGTTTCAGCTCGATTGTGGTTAATTCTGTTAGGACAAAGTTAATCATCCGTGCGAACACCAGAACGCACTCAAAGATAATTTATTTTTCAATTAAGTACAATATCCATTCAATCGTTTTTTAATTTTTTTTCCCTTGATTATTTTAAGAAGTTCATTATACACAACTGCTTTTTAAAATAATAATTAACTTTCACCGCTGTTTTAAATCAACTCGCTCCACTCTCAGCTTATATATTTAATATGCATACAGGGTGATTTACCATTTTACTAAACATCGTGCTTGCTCCATTTTTTCTTTATTCATTAATTTATTCAAATTCTGACTTTTAGAAATACATTACGACCATTTATTTTTCAAATATTTAAGATTTTGTGTACTATTAAAATGTTAAGGACTGTACAGTGCTTATGGCGATACAGTAATTTATTTTTTCAAACGAAAACCAAACCATTTTACTCTAAACTGTTAAACAGATAATTTTTTTGGATAATTTTTATGAATCGAAAACAAAAATTTAATAAGTAGTTTTTATGTTATTAAAATTTACTCACAAAGGATAATAGTCTTTAAAAATGATTTAAAAAAATATAAAATAGATGGAATATTGGAATTTGACCAAGTATTTGTCATGTACTCAGACAATGTTTACAAAGTAAAAAGTGTTGATTAATTAATTATTGATGTATTAAAATTTTAAACCATTTTAGACCTCATATTTTCTAAATCTGTATTACCATGGGGACAACGGACCTATTATCTTTATTAAGCAAAGCTTTGTGTAGAAACCTTTTCATTCATAAGATTTAGATGCACCAATATTTTCAAAAAAGTCAACTTTTTAGCGAGTTATAGAAATAAATGAAAATTTTTATTTTAAAAAAAGAAGCTTGCTTTGTTAAATTACATCTTTTAAATTGTATATAAATAAAGCTAAGTGTTTAAAAATGTTTTTCTCTATAAGTATATTTGAAAATTTCCAAAAGTCAGAATTTTAATGAATTAGTTATTAAAAGTAAATATGGGGTTGAGCATGCTTGGTGAATCATCTTGTATAGATTATATTATTTATTGACTTTTGAATTACAAGAATTGTCTGCTGTTGATCAGACGTGTACAGCATTTAAAATTTGATCAAAGAATTCGCTATCATTATCATTTCATTAAATTTCATACTGACACTTTCTAAGTATTGTAGGGAGTATATCTTTTTCAAAAGAAACACTTGCTCTTCAAACTTTTTTTATAATTTAAGATTTGTTACGGGTTAAGTAAGATATTTTGTTTAAAATAATATTTATAGGCGTAAAATGTTGTTGTATTATATTTATTTTACTACACTTTTATCTTGTAAAAAGTTTGTTTTTAATTTTCAACTTGTAATTTGTGACGTATTTTACTTGCGTTCATATTGTGCATTTGATGAAATATAGTTAATTTAAAAATGAGAAAAACTTTATGAAAAAAAAGGTTTGGAGTGTTCTTGGAAACTTCCATCATCGATAAACCATTCGTTATTGTTTTCATTAATACTTGCGAGTTGTGACGTATTGTTGTTTCTTTAAATTTGAAGTTAATTGTTTCAAATTTGTTCACGCTTTTTTTTCCAAGTACCGTGAGAATACTTTGGAAAGGTGTTTAATGTATTTTGAAAATGTATATAGCAAAAGTTTTTCACCTCACTCCGACATTGTCATTGTATTATCGTTCTTATTCTATCAAACAACTTAAAAAGCTATTATGTATTCTTTAGAACATTATTTTTTTTCAATTTATACGTCAACATTGAAGTGTGGAAATTAAAACTATTATTCAACCAATATACGGTAGTTATATTTGATTTTATATCGGGAAAGAGTATATATATTCTTTTTTAATTACAACTTTTCAACAAAACTAGTTTTAAATTATAGAAACAATAATTTCATTTCAAAATAATTATATTTTAAATTGATGATAAACTACATTTGTGTTTTTAATTTTTAAATTATGAGTAATGGGCACTCTAAATTGTCTAAAAGTTTATTTAATTATATATTATAATATACTGTATAATATTGTAACACATAATGTGTATAGTCTACACAGGATTTTATTTCTGGTTGGATATTTTGAACAAAAAATGGCCACAATAAAATCAAAGTATACGTCTTGTTTTCAAGTATGAATACTATGTTGTCTGAAATGTCGTGTGAAAGAAGGGGTAAACCTTCTCAACTATCCCATACTGCACATTCTCTATTATCAAACACAATTATTTAGACCCAAAAATGGTTAATTAATTATAGTTAATGGCATTAATGGTATTTTTGTAAAACTAAAAACACAGTTGAAAATTGATTACGAGTAAATCAAGTACGAGAGTATAACGCTCAAAACCACATATTGTGTCCGCGACAAGTTTTTTATTTTTATTTACAGTACCGTGTACATATGAACATTTCTTTTATCTTTACTTGTATGAAGATACTCGAATGGAAAAAAAATCAATACCAAAAACAAACCCACTCATTTTGTGTATACTATGATAAGTTTTCATATCTAAAATGTAATATAGTAATGTTTGCTTTATTCTGAATGTTTTAATATTTATTTCTAAAAAAAAAGTAAAATATTTTTATTTGATCGCAGCAAAAATCAAAATAAATCCTCTAAAAAGACGTGCGCGTGCATATTATTATCCAGCGTGAAAAAAAAAGCACAAGACGTATTTTTATTTTTCGCGGAAACATAATATATGACTTATCATCGTATCAGTTATTTTAATAGTGTATATAGTTGAGCTAATGTTATTATGGTCGGTAATTCACGCCAGTTATGTACATTTTATAATCAAACATTAAAAAATCTCGGAATATTGTCTTCGCGCCCCTTTTACCTATATATAATATATCAGATTCCATATTATGTACCGTAAAAAAAGTGAATCAACCCTGTGAGCTGTAAATAATTTTTATTGACAGAATATACTTACACTGTATCCAATACTATCGTTGTTACTGGACGGCTAACAGAAAAACGATTATTTTCTCGTGGAGCTATTTTTTAATTCTCTGAGCAGTTGACGCAATCAGCGTCATTCTTTGATTCGCTTGAGTTACACCAAACCTCAATACGCTTTAAATTAACGTCCTGTTTTTATCTACTGTGTATAGAGAGAGAATGCGACGAATTGCCGAATCCGGAACATGGCGTGGTGCAAATGACTGGAAGACTATTTAGCGACAAAGCTACTTACAGCTGCGAAATCGGATATCAATTGATCGGCAGAGACCACAGGACTTGCCACGCCACCGGTGCGTGGTCTGGAGTGGAGCCTTTCTGCAAACAAAGTGGTTTGTACCTATTTTATTTAGATTTTCGGTTTGTATATTATATACGGCGAGGATCTTTAATTAACCACGAACGAGTGATTTTATTTTGTCACATTGTTAATAATAATATGAATTCATATTAACTGGAGTATAACTAACTTGTTAAGTATCAACGGCGATTGTCTCTGTATTGATATATTTTACTCTTATAGTCTTATATATAAACAAGTAAATTAGATAGTATGAATGATAAGCAATTAAAATAAATCATTCATATTAAATATAGATACTAAGTAATAAGTATTTGAGTTTCAACGGCAATAATTTAATTATAAACATATTAACTCAAAACCACTGTGTACATCACTCAAATGGTATTTATTATAAAGTATATATTTGTCTGTACCAAAATATGTAGTATTTGGTGTGTGTATTAATTAGGAAGAGGGACTAATATATAGTTATACTTTAAACATTTTAATAACCGAGACCAATTTAATTTGATTGTTTCATATAGTAGGTATATGCCTGGTTTTGATATTTTTTACTTCATTAATCAATATGTATAATTAATAATTTAGATAGTTATTAGTCGAGAAGTAAGCATTTGACAAGCACATATTTCTGTGGATCGTCTAGACACGATTAAAATACAAATTAGTTTTATATAGTTTAATTTCACAACTTTTTTTATACAATATATTCTGCCGATTTTTATTATAATACATTAAACAAAAACAATAAATATTACCTGTTTTATGGTCTTATGTTATTTATAATAATTTAATGAATGTTTTCGACAAAAATAAATAATAATTAATATAATTATTTTAATATTCTATTATAATTTCCAAACATTTACTAGGTACATTGAAATAAAAATAAATCTTTCATTATTTGTTATTTTAAATACGAAAACACTGATAAATAGGTAAATACTTTTTTTCAATATACTAATATATTAAATCAGTTTCCATTTAGTCATCCAATGACGTTTTTTAACAACAATATTAAAATTTGATCATATGAACAGTTTTGTTTAACCTAATTTTTCACTAATTTTTGAGCGATTTTATAATCATAAATTAAATTGCTTGACAAAGAGATGACGTAAAGACAATATTATTAATATTTTTGCATAATAATATAAACCTTTAAAAAAAATAATTTTGGTACTTTTAAAGCGTGGGCACTTAACTTTTGAGATGATATTTTAAGTAATTTAATACCCAAGTGGTGTTTAATTATATTTTATGTATAATATTAGTCTATTCTAAGAACTTTAAAAAATATTTATTATACGAGTTATATTACATTCTAGAGAATCTTGATCTAAAAAATAATACTCGTAAGATTTTGGCTATTGTAATATTAATGATATAATATAATTATGTATGGAGTATGCATCATTATATTAGACGGATAATTTGTGCTAAACACTTCATACAACTTCATCGTCGTTTCTTCATATTATTTTACTATTTTCAACGAAGTGAGTCAAGCAAGTCAAGTACAATAATATCTTTAACAAAATACACAGCTCTATGTATAGCTATACACTTCTATAATAACAGCAACATATTATAATTTATAGTCAAGTCTCTTAAGAAGTTCCATCAATGGGTGTCCACAAGACCCATGAATATTGTAATTTAATTTAATTTAAATAATTTAATATTTTTCTTCTAATATTTTCTTTAAATCCGAAATTAAACATCACTCGTGCTCATTGTAAAAATATAACTTTACATATAGTAAAAATTCTATATTAAAAAAATTTAAAAATTTAAAAAATACAGTCTATAGTCTCTGTTAATTAAATATTAATCTGGCGTTCGGGATAACCGTATAGAATACTGCTAGTGTATCATATAAATCAGCAAAATTGTTCAAAATCAATTACTCGACGTCGTATTTGTATTTTACAGTGTTCTGCAAATCACCTCGTGTAATCGAAAATGCAGGTAACAATGCGTTTGCGGATCAGCAAACATTCGACGTTGGATCTGAAGTTGAGTACCGATGTAAAGACGGATTTACGATGAGAGGTTTCGCTAGAGCTAAATGTTTGGCAATGGACATATCGGCTTCGTGGTTTGGACCAGATATAACATGTGAACGTGAGTATTAAGCCTTTATAATATATATATATATTATATATAATTGCCATATATATATACAAGCACTCACAGAGATTATAACAATTAAAAACACGGAATTATGTAGCCACGATAAAATTACTGAATTTATTTTTATGCATTTAGGGTATTTTTTCATTTCCTCTGTTATATTATAAAAATCTTAAATGAATTCCGTTGTATAGTTACATAATTAATGAACAACAAGATTATTTTAAACGGACCCGCTGTAACTCCAATTATTGAGATTTGTTCGAAATGTTTTAATTTTGATGTATTCATGTACCCGATTTCTGGATAAATCCGAACCAAAATTATTCTTTTGAAGTTATCTCCACCAATATTATAACTGAGTTTCGATAAAGCTATAAAACGACATAATAAAACTAGTAGGAGGGTCAGACAAATAACTATTTCTTGAGCTCAGCTCTGAATCTAAAAATCTAATTTAAAAAATATTAATTTAATATTTCTAGCGAACCATATAGTTTTTTTCTGTTCAATTGTTCGATAATATTACATTATCCTCTCATTATTATTTATGCTTATAGTGATTCAAAAATAAAAACATTGATTACACATCAATAAATAAAACTTTCATTGCCCGTTTTACTAAATTAACTTGGAAAAATAACTAAAAAAAATGTCGGTTCTAAAAACATTTAACAATTAATGATTCGAGAAAAAGTTTAAACAAAGAAATGAAAATATGTTTTTATTTTTTTTAAATTATTTTAACAGGTAGATCTACAAATAAAATTTGTATTACCTATATATTGATGTTTGTCATTTGGTACCAATTTTTTATTGAGAACAATATATACAGCAAAACTGTTACCTAGGTCCTGCTATTGTATATGATATTTAGCTAGAATAGTTTTAAATGTATTTTAAAGTTATAATTAAATAATTTTTTTAATGTGTTCAGTATACAGTAGTATTACATTTTATAGATTTTAATCTATGTTAATGGTTAAATTTTTAATTGTATATTTTCACTTTACTGTTTAGATATTTTATTAAATCAACATTCTTTTTTTTTAAATTTATTGTTATTTGTTTTTATATGTTCTTTTGTACGGCCTACATGCTGTAACTCTTGTTATAATGACTAGCAATTATTCCAATGCTAAAAATAAAAATTAAATTAAATGTTCATGCCATCTTATAGCTTTAAAAAATATTTGTTCCTAAAAAAAAGTTAGAGTGGTTCTTGTTGACAAAAATATTTTTAAATATATTTATCACTCAATCAAGTGTTTAATTTAACGCAGGTACCTAATGTAAATATTATAAAATACTTAAGACGCCCCAGGGAAATGTGTTTTCTACAATTGTTAAAATAGATATTTTTAATGTTATAAATTACTTTAAAAATGTATTGCAGCTGTTTTTATGCTTTTTTTCTCCAACAAATCAAATACATTTTACTAAACAGAAAATACTTTGACGTTTTTAACTGTATTTACAATATAGTAGGGCTATTATTGTATCAATGTCATATACTATTATTTTTAGGACCAGTGTTTACAATTATTTCAATATAAGTGTTATCGATCTGCGGGAACGTAATTGTCTTATATTACACTTGTGAGAGGCTGTGGTTTCTCCACAACAACCCTGTGAACTGTGATATTCTTCATATCCTTTTCTATTGTCCCAAATTTTCATCACAGCATGCTTACCTGGTATTTCGGTATATACGGTATTACGTATTTTCTCCTCCAAAAAACCTCCCTATTTTATCCCTATTCAACCTTACAGACTTTGTCATTAGTCATTACCACCGCGTCTAATTGTCGAGGCTAATTATATACACATATATGTATATATAATATATAAAACTAATTTTACTCCATGCATTATATTACATTGCATTATGTATTTATATATATATATATATATTTTTTTTTTGTTATAAGTTTTCATAAAAAATTTTAGCCCATTATTTATAAATATATATATTATATATGTATATATAAATACGTATTTGCTTAGGCGTAAGACTAATATGTCTGATTAATGCAATTTATTGCATTCCAGCAATTGTCTTTAAGTAATAATGCTACACTCGCTCAGCACAACTATCTAATATCCATAGTTCCATAATATTATAACCACATTTATCAAGCTTATTTATATTTAAAATAGTTATACATTAAAAGATGATTCGTAAATCGGTCTGTATTGTTCTATAATATAATATAGGTAATATTATTATGTACTGATATGTTGAAAAATGGTTGTAAATAATTCGTACATAATATAAGAGCTATATTGTTTTCCGCTATGGTATCACCGGTGCTTAGATGCCATATTTTAACCTTTAACCGAGTTATTATACTTTCAGCGAGGACTTGCGGCGCTCCAGGCGTAATTCCCAATGGCTGGCATCAAGGCGATTGTTCAGACTTCGGTTGCCGTGTGTTCTACAAGTGTTCGGAAGGTTACGAACTAACCGGAAAATCGGAACGTCTCTGTCATTCGGACGGATATTGGGTACCAAAAGATTTACCTTCGTGTGTGCGTAAGTACTTCAATGCCGAGTTCGCGTGGTCGTTCTCTGCCGACCTATGACAATTTCCGACGGTAAACCGTTGTGGGTGTTTTGTCTTCTCGGACAGTCGCTAAAGTACTTACAAAACTGTGTGCTCGTTTTCTTGTCAAAATAACCGTTAGCTGAGTACACCTACCCTCGTGAACCGCATTTAGGTACCACCCAAATCGAAACGTTATATCTGAAAATCGTTTGTCGGTATAAAATATGTTATAGTTGTTTTTGCCCCCTAGTGAAATACATATGAATTCACGAAAGTAAGACAACAATAATAATAATATACGTCTTGAAAAGCCTCGCCCCCCCCCCTCATAATTAAACTCTGGCTGTTTTTATTCATCGCCGAATGATGCACCCTTATTATGACGAGCTCAAGGAGGTACGGGCCAGATGTGTAAATTACTTATTAGTATAACCACTATATTATTCACTAAGTCCGGTCCAGAAACCCTAACTATGAACTCATAAAATTATACCTCGGTAAAGGTAATGATTAAATAAATAATAATATTATGGAGCCGTTTATAGACTAATCTGCGCGTAAATGATATTGAAAAACCACGATGTACTCGTATATTGTAATATACAGGTACCTATGTCGCATTAATTATAGTCACGGACACGGTATACCATGACGTTTAAGTAGGTATAGGTATACACATAATATTATATACATAAATATAATATGTGTATTGACCGGTCGATGTTGTCTGACAATAATAATATACCACTACCCGAAGTGTTTCGCATACATAACTTATGGGTGAATTTACGTTCAGTTACTGTTTGGCGTTGTTTTCGCGTGTGTTGTGGTTTCAGCGGTTGACTGCGGTCCTCCCGAAAGTCCGTACAACGGAAACGCGGTATTCACGTCTACGTCCTACAATTCGGTAGTATCATACGAATGTAAATACGGGTACTTACTGTCCGGTGAGCCGACTAGGCGGTGCGGTGCAGACGGCAAGTGGTCAGGCACAACGCCAATATGTCAAGGTAAATGCAAAAAATGAGAATTTAAAGGCGGGCTCAGAAGAGAATAACTGCACAGTAAACGATTTATGATTAAAAAAAAAAAAACCTTTGTTGTCAGATATTCAACGTAGTCACATAATATATTATAGCCACCATTAGCCATATAGGGGGTACCATAGAGTAATTTAGATTTATAACTTCGTTTTTCGAACTAAAATCATACTTATTTTCAATAAGCATCGGATTTGACAACATTTAAATGATTACGTTTCTTAGAAAAACATAGTTTCAATTTGAAAATTAAAAGTCTGAATATCGTTAAATCTTTATTTCTAAATTTAAGGCTCTTACAACATTATGGCTGTAGGCACAATGACGTAACGATTGTTCTTGTATATTTTTTTTAAATATACAATCTTCATGGATAGTTTAATAGCAAATGATGGTTTTATTTAGTTGGTTTAAATTAAGTACAGCATATACTGACATAACTATTTTAAAAATATTGTCGTTTATACAGAGATAAAATACAAAGTATAATATCGATACGATTATAAGAACCCAATATAATATATTATATAGGTAGAGCAGAAGTGTTATTATTATCACCTATTTGCATATTTTTGAAACTCGGGAAACCCTAATAAATGTTAGTTTTTTTTTTTTTAATCCACCCAAAACAATAAAAATGTAACGATAGAGATAGATTGCGGATCTCCGGGAGAGCTTCATAATGGTTGGCTAGAGAACACTGAAAGCGGCACTGGTCTAGGCGCGACGATTATTTACCGATGTCAAGACGGAATGCTTCTTGTAGGGAACTCTTCGACAGTGTGCCTTGCCGATGGACAGTGGCGTTATCCACCACCGCTGTGCCTAGGTGAGTTTACATTTGCCAGCCGACATGGTCGCTTAAAAATAATGTATTTACTTATATCATAACGACAGCCACTTGTCTGTGTGCTCGTCGGCAACAATATACCGGAATGAATATTATAATAATATCATTTCTCGTTGCAAACGTATGAAAAAAAAAGAAAGGTAATCTCATAATGGGTATAAATGTGCTTTACAGCTCCATGTGTCGTGCCGGTTATCCAACAAGGTCACGTGAACATCACTCGGTCAAACGATTCCACTCCTTATGTACCAAAAACGGTTGGTGGTCCCATTTTAGCGAAACACGGTGACAAACTGTCTGTAAAGTGCAACGCAAAATACGAGCCAGCTGGCGGAAACAACGATCTCGCTACTTGTAATAATGGTACTTGGACTTACATACCGAAATGCGAACCAGGCAAGGCATATTATAATATTTTTGATATTGTTTTCACCCTCTCTAATTTTTCATATTACATATTATTTCATAATCCCCACTCTCACCAATTAAAATGGTGTATTTTTTTCAGGCTAACCGTTTAGTAAAATTAAAACGTACCTGCCAAATAATTTACCATTTATTTGACTTGGAGGCAACTTATTAACTATTGTTTTATGATATTAATTATTTGAGTGTTCATATTAAGTAGTTATATTGTAGTGCTAAGCGTTCAATCCAAATTTCGTATATAATTTGATATTTATAAGCTCTCACTTTATCACATTACATCTTGATCCACAGACTTCTGGAAACAAAAGCCTGACTCGCAAAAGTGACAATTTTAAGCTTATAGAGTGATGTTAAATAACTTAAACAATTAAATGGGTCTAGAATAATTATTGAGCTCATTAAAAGATTGGAATTACGTTTTTTCAGCTCATTGCAAACGTCTACCAGTGATTCCAAAAAACGGCATAGTTCTGGCACCACGAATGGGTCACGGTGCCAAGGCAAAGTTCTCGTGTCGAGATGGCTACTCACTGGTGGGGGACCGGTACACAGAATGCCGGTACGGAAATTGGTCCGGGGAAACTCCAAAATGCGACGAAGGTAAATAACATTTGATTAATGTTACGAGTTTACGACTGTCCATTAATGTCTGGCATCGAACCGTGAAATAATTTTTCTTTTCAGTTTATTGCACTTTCCCTGGATATATCGATCACGGTAAAGTTTTATTAGTGGGAAGTATGGGCGTTTATGACTACAGACCATACGTTCGTAAGATAAAAAACAACAAGCAAATCTCGTTTGAGTGTGATCGAGAATACGTAATCGAATCAGGACCTGTAGGTGCAACCTGTATTGGTGGCAAGTGGAGCCCCGGATATCTGCCAAAGTAAAATTATAATAATCATAATACTATCACCATGATCTATTTTTAATATATCAAATACGATATTAGAAAAATATATTATTTAGAAACTCAATTTTATGTACAATTATTATTTTATTATTTCAAAATATATTATTGTACCCTTCTTATTGTAGGTGCGTACCATCAATACATCCAAAACTCAGACTCAGTAGATCTATTAAGAATAGTACTGATATTAATACGAATGAACTGATTACGGAAAAACCAGGTTTTTATCAGATTGGCAAATTAATAACCTCTATAAAAGCTTGGTGGAAAAGAAGTAAACGTGCGTTATCAGCACAAAATCAACAAGTAATGAAAGCTAAACAGACGTCAAATAAAGATCAAACAGCCAAAAATCCGGGAGTTAATAGAGGATCCAGAGGTCGGGAATCTGGGGATTTATCATTCAAAGATTATGACACCGAAGATGGTAACTCTACGATAGACGGAGAAAAAGCTCCACATAAAGGTGCTAAAGGCAAAGGCAAACATGGAAAAAGAAAAGGTAGGTTTTGTATTTCGTATAAAGTACTATGGATAAAGAAATATATATTAAAATATTTTATTGTTATTATCAAGACCAGGATTTCAATGCATTTTTTAATTTTTTTAATTGGACAATGCTTTCGTAGTAAAAAAAAATGTGATTGATGAAACAGATAATTTGATATTCAAACTGTTATATACATGGTATTTTAATAATTTAAAGTGCACAATATGCAAGAGTTTTGTACACGGTTAACTAAAAAAACATACTTCATTTTAAAACATTACTTCAAGAAATTTGTTTCGCATTCAATGTCGACTGTCTTATTTATTATATTGATAACATTGTTTTGTTATCTATACTACAGTGAGTTCATCGGGCAACGGTCTATACTTTTTACTACGGTGTATAACAACAGCATTATTCAGACTCTATATATCTTACCCTATTACCTTGCACTACCATGCTTACGAGTAATCGAGTAAACAAAAAGCACCCTCTACTTTGTTAAGATTTCCATACACTCATTGCTTGTTTAGTAGTATAAGGTCTATGGTCAACGGCTATGGTCAATTGCCAAAATTTAATAAATACTATATTGTGACCGTGTGTTCTGTACTATTTTTAGTAGTGAATATAGCAATTATGTCGTTCAACAATTAAAATTGTATTTATAATATGAAATAAATAGTATAACCAGTATAGGTATATAATATATTTTAATAATATACATATTACATTTCAATTAATATTATTAAAATATATATTACAAAGAATTTTTCTGAATGAATGAAAAAAAATCATAGTTTTTTTTAAGTTTATGTCTCTGAGTTTGGGCTCTATAGTTATCACTTATCACATTACACCAGAATGATTTGTAACATATACTTTTTTGGTTTTGATTCACAGTTGGTCCTTGTGAACCTCTAAAAAATAGTACAAATGTACATATAGAAATTGTGAGACAAGGAAAGCATGTTAATGTTACCCATTCGCATGGAACCGTACTCAAAGTTTCATGTGATCACGGCTACCAACCTAACGTGGTCAATGGAACGGCCAAATGCTGGAGAACTCGATGGAAGCCAGCAAAACCTGACTGCAAACTTAGTAAAATAAATTAACTCTTTCGTAATACTTGTATAGTGTTTAACTATTTTAATTTCATTTACAGAACCTTGCTTAATACCCTACTCAGCAAATGGTTTTTACAGTAAAGTGGAACCTACGTATTTAAATGTAACCGAAAGCACTGAGTTTATGGATGGTGAAATCGTAACTATTACATGTTTTTCTGGATTTAACTTAAAAGGCCCTTCAAGAATGGAATGCAGAAAGGGTGACTGGGATGTTGGAACTATTTCTGAGTGCACTCCTGGTAACATAATTATGTGTTTTAATTAAATAAAGGGTTAATGCTTGATGTGTTAGTGATTAGTATATACTAATATAAAATGATTTTGTGCAGTAGTAATAAGAAACAGGGCGTAATAATATTATTGAAATATATATATATATATATATATATAGACAGGTATTCTAGATATCAACATTATTAATATGAATACTTCGAGTTAGATGTCCAATTGGTTAGTGGTGAAAAAGAACATTTTAATTGTTACCTAATTGTTGGATAGAATAATAATCATGCAATATTATAATTTAAAAATCAATTTAAATCATCATTAAATATAATATGATTTCAGCCCCATGTGAGTTACCGGCTATAACTCATGGTCAGTACTTACTTGGATATAGAGCAGGTCTTACGATAGCTAATGGATCATTCGTTACCTTCCAATGCGATCCAGAGTTCATAAAGACTACATCAGTTTCCATCGAATGTGTATTAGGTCGATTAGTTCCTAAAGTTCCTTCATGTAAAAGAGGTAATTTTAAGTGCAGCATTTCAAATAAAATATTATATACGACACAATTTATTGAATAATACCTACATTTTTTGTAAAAGAGAAAATAATGGTTTTACAAATGATCACATTTTCAGATGGTGGATTATTCATTACCGGTGCGGATATTTTGAAAAAAAGCGAATTAGGCACCATTGATCTTTTGTCCGGGCTTCGAGGATCTTGCGGACCCCCAGAATCGGTCCACGGATCAATGGTGTTTAGAAACGGAGAATTGTTAAAAGACGCGGAAAAGAGGCGAGTACCTACAACACATCAAAATTATGTGAAATAATTACTTTCAATTTATGATGAATTGTGTCTCTTTTTAGTTTTCCCGACGGGACAGAAGTGACGTTTAATTGTATCGGAAATATTATAGACGAAAAGGTTACGTGGCGTATACGATGTGAGGACGGCAACTGGATTGGCCGGTCGTTGAATTGCAGTAAGTATCGTTATTATAATAATATAGTTTATTTAACCTTGAGGGCAAATGTAGGTACCTATATGGATGGTAATTTTCAGCGAAACCCGTCGAAACCATGAACTCCACTTTGGACAACACCACTTGTATGTTTCGAAACAGCGAGCCCAACGTGGTGACGTTCATAAGTGACACGATGATCACGAACGAGCTAACCGAGTTCAACGCAGGAACAGTTTTGGTAATTTACGGCTTAATATCATATCACAAACTGGCATACGCTGCGTGTTATCAATTATTATAATAATGCAAGGTTATTTGTTACCCTATATTATGTGAATATGATTTTGTGGTGTACTCGTTGTAGGTATCTCGATGCTCAGACATTGGAAAATACGCGATGGAAGGATCCAACAGGCGTGTATGTTCGAATGGTGAATGGTCTGGACAACGTCCGGTTTGTTTTGGGCTAAACCAGGAAAACGATTATGCACGTATGTCATAACAGTGTATTATTAATTATTTTTTTGCTCCAATACCTATGTTGGTTCTTACACTTTCTGAGATTTTTCTTTGTACAATATTGTCGAATTTATTAATATAATGATTTTATATTGACAATGTTTCGTACAGAAAAGTTGATTTGTAGTCTTAAAATATTAAGCTTTTACTATTTTCGATTAAGGCAAATATTTCTGACTTCCGTGTTAAAAAGACAAAAAATTATCATCAAAATACATCACAATAATATATGGATTACAATAATGTATTATACGCTTGTAATATTACGCACTAAATATTATTTAAGTTAATATCTAATGACATATATTATAGAGTAATAAACATAAGAGTAATATTAATTATTATATCATATCATACCATATTGTTGTTTTATAATTGCAAAAAATTAAAACGAATTCGGTGACACACTAACAAGTTATTGTTTTTGTAAAATATTATGTCAAACATTAAAAGTCTTCTGCTCGTGTTAATTCGTTTGTTCCGTGTAACGTTTAAAGTGGAAAAACCGCCAACAATACTGTTTCGCCATCAGTTAGGGCCGATAGCGCAGAGTAACGAGGGACGACTAGTCGTCTATCCGGGAACGATATTGCACATGGAGTGTTTGTGGATCAAACGGTTCGGCACTCCGAAATGGAACGTCAGTCATTCGTTCCGGTAACGTGCCTGTGGTTTTCGGTTATTTGATTTGAGTACGTAATTTCATTACGTCCGTGTCGGTGTTTTAGAAAGTATCCCGAGGGATGGACAACCGACCCCGGCCGAGACCCGGATCTCGAATATCGGTTGAGTATCTATCATGCGAGCAGAGACGACTCCGGCCTGTTTTCGTGCATCACCCCTACAAGACACACTCATTCGGTCGAAATAATCGTAAAAGGTTCGTATTTTTTTTCTTTTAATTCACTCGACGCGCGAATAACTAGGTATGTACAATAACAGTGATATTATAACGATAACAACTGTTTTACAAAAATATATGTGATATAATGATTTTTATTATAATGTGTATACTCAACGAATATAGCCGTGCACTGTCCTTCTATACCGTCGAAACGAAGTTTGATCATTGGTTCGCAAAACACAAAACTAAACACTCGAGTAAAGTTTTCTTGCGCTAGAGGCAACAATCTGATCGGGGCCTCTGAAATCGTCTGTTTGCCTTCGGGCAACTGGAGCGATCCGATCCCCGCATGTGAGAGTAAGTTTATCGATTATTATAGTATTATATGTAATGTCTCATAACCGTGAACATATACGGCTATAACTAAAAAAAAAAAAACTTTTTGCACAAAATGAAATATATAATATTTATTACAAGTATAGCCATATATGTGTGTAGTTTATAGCATGCGTTAAAAACTGTACGTAGTATTTACATAGGTAGCGGATTGTCGGAAAACATTATTCCGGCCTTATTTTCGTGTATTTACCTTTTTCGTTTTTTTTCCTACAGTCATCGAATGCGAAAAGATCGATAACCTAACCGACCCAAACCTACGGATAGCCGTTCTCAGCCGCCAAGTGGGTGGTGAAATAATGTTTAGCTGCATGCAAGGATTCGGACTCGACGGGCCCACACACTCGACGTGCCTGCCAACCGGTGAATGGGAACAGCCGTTCCCCACGTGTGCAGGTATATATTACAGACTTGACACGATGTACTACGATTGTCATTACTGTTATGACTATTGCAAAACCATAGGAGGGGAGGCTATCGCGTTTTTGCGGGTACTCAGTGACTTCGAAAAACTGGATCCCCTCCCCGCCATCACAACCACTCCCCCATTTTGATCTCGGGCCCTAAGTGTAATTGATATGTTGTAGCGGTCACTTGTCCCTGGCCAGGGGACCCGCCGCACGGTTACGCGGCCGTCTCGCAAAACTCGTACAGGCCCGGCGAACACGTGTCCATCAGCTGCGAACCGTACTACGTGTTGGACGGTCAGCCCAAGCTGGTTTGTGGGGACAACGGAGAGTGGTCAGCGCCAATGCCAATCTGTAAGTGGGGCGGGTAGAGTGTGCAATGTGCATGTATAGCGACTTCGAACGAATGCCGGCCGAAGCATCCTGCAGGAATACGTCACGACGGATCTCCTGGCCAAAATATAATTTATTAACTCCCGTCCGCCAAGTCCAGGGGTGGCCGACTCGCGGAGGCGTCTTGTCGAATAGAAAAAAATCAAACTTTACGTATAATTTGCTTATGATTGATACTCTGTTAATTTTAAAACGTACACACACACGTCACGCATACTCGTTGATAATTTTGTCGCGATCCACGTGTTATAGTATTTCAGTAGTTATAGAAGATAAATAAATATTTTTATTTTTTAAACTTTACCTAAGGCACAAAATATACTGATGATCATAGAAATATGTAAGACGGTGATATCGATATTCTTTAACGTTTCAAAAAAAAAAAAACTAAAAATGTCCTATTATTTTTCTGAGCTTATATTATATTTTTTGGTTTTCGGCGGAAGGATTATTGCCCAATACAATATAAACTCTATTAGTACGCGTTCACTGTAGACGATAAGTACTAATGTTTGCATTGTCGATTAATATCGGTACCGTCGTGATAATATATTATCATATAATATTGAGTATACACTTATCCATTTTTTAACTATTTTAAATAATACACCCCACGCCGAAATGAAAAGAAATACGTCAATTTTTTATTACTTCAAATAAAATATGTAATTTAAATAATTTTAGTTTAAATGTTACATTTTGCGATGTGCATATAAATCAGAATCGTATACTCTCTCTAATAATATTTAATAATATTTCACTTTACATACCAAACATCTGCACAAATTTATAAAACGCTTACATTTCAAACAGATTTGATTGAAAAATGACCACAATTATGTAAATACAAAATATGGGTAGAGCATAACATTTAAACACGAAAATGAATCATTTGAATTGCAGTCGTATACTCGTATGCATGCGAAAAAATAAATGTAGTTACCTAAAAATAACGAGTAGGTATATTATACTATAACATACTTTAGCAACGCCCAAATCGATTGCTAAACCTACCTGGAAGATCGATTCGTTTTTGGCACTTAATTTCTCGGCACCCGATAACAATGCTATTGTGTCATTACAAATAATTTATCAACGCTTAATATATACGTCTCGGTGGCCACACGTTCGTTTTTCAAAATAATAACGATTTCGAAGTCGCTCTTCACACCCGGTGCCCGAACCGGCCGACTGTATTTCCTCTTGTTCGCAGGTGTTCAAGCCTGCCCATACCCGGGAACGGTGATACGGGGCCGCATGTCCACCGTCAAGTTTTACTACGCCATCGGGGACGTGATCACTTTCAGCTGCGACGAGAATTTGAAAATCAAGGGAGCCCCCGTGCTGCGGTGCCTCAAACACGGGAAATGGTCCAATTCCATACCGACGTGTGTGTCCAGGAACGAGACTCAGCGGACACAGTAGACCCACGCGTTTTCGTCACCCCGCAGCAGACAGTATAATATTATACCCGCCGACACGTTATTTTAAAGTTATATTATTTTATAATATTTCACACGACGATCCGTGAAATAGTCACGATCGTTTGTATATTATTGTCCATTACAATTATTATTATTATTTTTTTTTTTTTGGATCTCCTAAATATCGTTTGGGTCGTAAAATGTTTACCCTACGCCGTGTTCCTAACCTAACCGAACGTTACTACCTATAGTAATAATGATATTAGTAAAGCTCACAAAACCCTAAAAAATGTATACCGAGCGCCGGAACATGTTTTCAGCAAAGTGCGAGCATTATTGACGATTCGTCCCAAAACAGAAATGTCGAACGGTGTCCGAATACGATAAATTATAAATTATAATATTTAAATAACTGGCGAGGAAATCCAATACAAATCAATTGCGTTTACGATTTATTACTAAAACGGTTATGACACAAGTCGTAACCAACAGCTGGTTCAACTCGATGTCACGTGGTGGTGGTGGGTGGGCAGAGCCGTCTGTTTTCATCCACCTCGAGGGAGAATTCGTGTACGCTCCGGAAATTCATTATTAGTTTGTTTATTAGTACACTCGAACGAGTCACGGTTATGATGCACTCCAATAACGTCACGATTAAACATTTTGTAATTTTTTTTAAATTTTAAACGCGACACTATAATATATTATAATTTGTAATATCCACGAGAAGTTTACAAAACTTGATTTACAAGCAACGTGACAAATGTCTATAAATATAATATGTCTGACGCGTCTTGGTACCCACAACCCACCCTTTCTGTTTGTATAGGAAACATATTATATAGTTTCTCATATATTTATTACATAATATATTACATATTATTATTGACAATAATACCTACATATTGATTTTACCGTTTTCAATATAATATAGAAACGGCGGTGATATGATTTTAGAATCAAATACAAGCAAACAAAAATATATTATCATGTTATTAAAAAAAAAAAACGAAATAACCTTCTAACCCGTAATATTAGTGATACAATTTTCTTAATACGCGTATTTTGATTGTACTCTCATATATAACATTTATATTACATAGTGTTAACTCTCTAGTAGTCAAATCTAATGTTCATTAATTTATTAATTTCATAATCTCATCCATAGTATTTATATAGGTTAACCTATTGTTGTATTAATATCTAGAATATATTATTATTATATTATCATATTTATATATATAATGTAATATATTATGTACACCATATTATTGAACTGTATTTAAAATACCAATAAAGTTAAACGACGTACATATATTCGACTGTTGTTTTGGGATAAAACAGCCTACGGGGGAAAAGGATTTTCGTTTATTATTGCAATACAGCTAATATTTACTATTTTTAAGAGCAATGAGCATGTGGTAGTGATACAAATCCCATTAGCCCACAGCCGCCTTAAAATATTCCAGTAAATCCTCGTGGGACACGCAGTCTACAAGTCTATAATATTATGTTTTTTTTTGAACAGTAAAATATTGTATTATACTTGCGAATCAATAACTGACTGTATAATGTAGCACCTAAATAATATAAAACGGATTGAAAAAAAAATGATTTCTTATTATTTCGTTTTAAAACACGTTTTAAAAAATTATTATCATTATTGTTCTTATTCGGCGTGACGAGAATTATTATCAAAACTATAGTGAAATACATCAAACGATATGACGTAGAATTTTTTCACTGGTGCGATGAATTTATTACAATAATTCTTATTATTCATAAACTAAAATAAAATGTTAAAATATATTACTACCCTCGTACACAGCCGGCGTTTTGTATAGGCAATTTTGATACATGTATGTGTGACAAATCAATGCCATAAATCTCGGCGAAATATAAACAATCATAATTATTATCTCGACGATATTATTATGTTATTAGTTGTTACGTAAGACCGGATTTGTGTGCAGCTAACACCAGTAATATGTGCATTAAAATACTGAAATGTATTTGGATTAAAATGTATTACCATGTACATTTCCAAGTTTTTTTTTGTAAAATTATGCCTTCTGTCACTTAAAATTTGTTTTAACTGTGAAAACACTCGTTCTACGTAATAATTAAGTAGATAGATATTATAATATAGATTGTGGAGTAAAAATATTTGTTCAAAAGTACTAATTAGTACATTTATATAAAAAAAACCGGAAAACGTGCAATTTCATGCAAAATAAAACTTTCTTTAAATTTATCTACATCTCTAGCTTGATTTGATTTTATAGCTTGTTTCTAATTGATTTAGGACACTCCGTAAATATATGCGATGGAAACTGGTCTTAAGTTATTACTTATTATTAATGTAATATCAGATAAACTACATACGTATTAGGTTATGTATATCGCACTTATTATGTTTCGAGTTCTATAAGCTTACCGTTGTAATATTATTTTTTGTTACAACTATTCTATGTCAGGCGAAAGAACTCACCGGCAAAAATTGATTAGTCCTACGCATTCCCAATCGACACCCAGTTGTGAATGGTTCCCACCGGCCGATCATCGGTTAGAGAAAGAAAAATTTCACTGTTGAAAATATATTATGGAACATATTTTACAATGTACGAAAAAGTGTTTTAGTCACGAATATATGCTATGGGCATACCTATGTGGCGTAGACAGTATGGAAACTCGCATTTTCGCGGAAGACCTGCAGTGAGCATAAACCATAACAAGAAGCTCTTTGCGACGACGTGCTTGCATTGCTTGGAATATTATTTTGTTTTTTTTCCTTCTCGCCAAGGACAATCTCAAGAGGATGCCACACCTGCATGTGTTGTCTCTGTCTCAAAAACGTACAACATAGCAAAAACTGTATTGCGCGGGATAGAACCACTCGGGCTGTAGCCCAAGCTAAGTAACCACAGCCAAAGAAGAGCCTAAAGAAGAGAACATTTACTGTGCAACATTGCTTTTATTTTTTAGATATCATAAATACAAAATAGTTATTCAAGTTTGAAATAATGAATTTTTTAATAATTTTTTTTTTGGATTTTTCTTGTACTTGGGATGTCAAATAAATTAAAACAATGTTACAGGGTAGTAAATTTTCTCCTCTTTATAGTGTAAACATTTGGCGAAAAACGTAAACTTATCAGGTTTTTAAAAGTATTATAACATTTTTCTTATTAATGATATCAAGTGAAAACGGTACGATACAACACAGAAAATATTATCTTCTATATTGTGTAAGCTTTTGGTGTCTTTACTAAGACTGAAGACAGAGTGGTTCTATCTTGTACAAGGCAGTTGTTGCTATGTTGTACGTTAGTGAGACGGAGACAACACATGAGGGTGTGTCGTCTTCTTAAGAAGATATGAGCGCAAGTCATGAGTACTTGTATGATGCACAGACAATTTACAATTCTAAAATACTTACTTTTACAAATTAAAACACAATAAAACGCCTATGAAATGCTTTAGATAATAATTTTAAATTTTAATTGTATAAGAGGTAATTTCTCTCTAATGTTATGAATTATTATCATTATTATCATCACTGTGAACGTCAAGTTGCGCGTGGGTGTGCTAAAGAGAGAGAGAAAAAAAATTACTTCCTCTTAATAATATATTATAAATTATATAAATATTTGGTTTACACGCCGTATAGGTATACACTGCATAATTCATATTATGTCAGGAGCATTCCATCGGAAAATCTCGAGACATTTGAATTTACTGTTGGCATTTATTCGGACGGGTAATTTTCTGCGATGCCCTCGTGAACACTGCAGGTTTTCGTTCCACGTAAATATATGCATATATCCCTCATAGTAATGCTGAACGTGACTATACCTACACTTGTATACCTTTGCGTCACGAAGTAAGCAAAGCGCCCGACAAACGTGCGGCTGCATCTCCAGATGATGAATTTCGCAATTTCCGGAACCATTAGGAGGGAACTGTTTAGCGCGGCGGCTCACGGTGTATTGCCGCAGCGAGTTTAAATGGCGTCCGTTTGTGCACGCGCACATAATGGAAACGGAAAACAAACCGACGCCGCCCTCGCCCTCTGCAGCGATCCCGGGCACCGGCGACAGCCACCACGACTTGGCAAACATTTGCCGAGATCACAAACGAAACAAACAGCGGAGGCGCGTGCAAAACAACCAATCGAGTATAATATTATATAGCGACGACGACGACGACGACGACGACGACGACGATTAAACAAACAGCGAAAAAAACCTCTGTGTTGATAATAATAATTATTGTATTAATTTCGGAAACGAATAAATTTGAAAATTATTAATTTAATTAAAAAAGTTGTGCGGAGCGAAGAGGCGAAAAATTATACAAATATTAATAATGATATTGTTGTATTAGACTCTTGTTTTGGGCGGCCGCGGTATTCGAGGCACAAAATCAAAACAGAACCATATAAAAGCGAGGAACTTTCATCGTGCTCGGGTAAAAGTTCGGTTCGTATATAGTATTTAATATTATGGAGACTTTTCAACTGTGTACTTTATGCACACGTGTTGGTCCTATATCATACACTCGTCGCCGTAATACGAGTTTATGAGTTTGGTGTAAAATATTATAATTAAATTCAAGCTCGACTGTCGTAAAGTCATATATTTTAATTTATAATATTACATCAAAATTTATAAAAACACAAACTAAAAAAGCATTATAGTGTTTCTGTATCAATAACAAAGTGCTATTTAATAATACATAACTGCAATCAAATTATATGCAAAATCTGAATCCGACAAAACTGCAATTTCTATAGTTGTTTGACAACTATAGGTAGCCATTATACCTATTATTGAAGTGCAATTATTACAATAAGACGAACACTCGATTCAATTTTACCAAACTTATGAGTTTAAACATTAATTTTGTCTCCTGAAATCTCTGCAGGTGCATCAGCTAATGTTGGTTGACAAAAACAAGTGAAAATAATCTTGTCTTGCCTCGTGGCTCGGACTAAAGTAAATTATGTGCTTGACAAATTTGGTCTGTGGTTTTGGTCAAGCAGGTAGTTACCGTTCTCGGTCAAGCGTTAATAATAAGTGTTATAACGTATTTTTAAGAACATAATATATAAATGCATTTTAATAATAGTTCATAGTTGTATTAGAGTAATGTACACACAACTTCTCATTTTAGGTAAACAATAGGTAATTAAGTATCTATCTGATTTAGGTTATTATATATTAGTATGTTTTAAATTTTAATTGGTTCATTAGGCTATAACATTTTGTGTGCCAAAAGTAAATTTAATTGAACGTCAATGATGTCGTGAAATATTACATAGATGATATTTTTGTTTTTCAAATCGATTATTTTAATAATTTATTTAACATAATGTTATATTTTATATATAAATCATAAATAGTACCTACCTACTTATACACTATTACACTTCAAAATAAATAAATTCAAATAAACCAACTAATTACCATGTACTTTTACGATTAAATATAAGTAGTACAACACATTTATTCTCATAACTTGTTTCAAAAATCTAAAAGTTCTATAGGTACTTTAAAGTAAAAACTTCTGAGTCCAAACTATAAAATTATTTGATGGAATAAAACTTTTTGATGCCGCATTAAAACTATAATGGAACGAAGAGATTCTGTTTAAAATCGTACCCAACAATGTATGTTTTGAAAATTTTACCTATCTGTACATTACTATATACTATCAGTCAGCGTACTCAAGGGGGGGAGGGCAACGGCCTGGAGTCTCTGCCCTATCAACCATTATGTAACAGCAGAAACCTTTAATAATGACGTTCAAGCAGGAAAAAAAATAGGTCATAATAACCGGTTGTCATTATAACCAAAATGACAACAACAACATTTTAACTTCAATACATATTATAATTATTATCATTATTTATTTATGTAATGTATAATATACAAAAAAAGTAAAGATAAAAACATTAAATTATGCACATATTTAAATTAATTAATTCAATTATGATTTTAAAAAAT